CCCGAGCTCTACGTACGGATCCCACGAAGCCATTGAACCACGCTCGAACTTTCGTTCTAACTTCTGTGCCTCTAGGTCCTTCTCGGTGTCATGTCTGGTGCTTTCCTGATTGCCGGATGGTGAGCATCCCTCCCGAAATTGCCCTGCAGTGCCTCATTCCCAAATGTGTCGCCCCATTTGCGCCACTGTGACGTACTAGCACTTCTTTGAGATTTTACCCAACCTAGCTACCACTCTCAATGGCGCATGCACACACAATTGAAAGCAAGCACCACGATCGCTAATCAATTCGGTATTTGCGATAATATAGGTACTTCGGCCGCAAGCCCACCTCCGTGAACTCTGAGAGTAACGTTCGCATTGGCGAGAGTGCCATGCCCTGGCACGGCGAGTCCGAGGATGGCAAGGTCTACAAGTACCAGTACCACCCCCACGGTGACAAGAGCCAGCCCCTCCGCGCTGCTCCCAGCGCCATGAACACCGTCATTGTTCCCAATGTCACCCTTCCCGAGGTATGGATTCATTGGACATTCTTATTTATGTCATACGTGGGATCACTTCAGAACTTGGTTCAGAGTGTGATCACCTTGGCTGGTTTGGTAGGGAATGCTGACATTAGCTTCTTAACAGGACCTCCACGAGAAGTTCAACAAGTACGGTAAGGAGGAGTGGGACTACTGAACGGCTATTGATTAGCCATAAGAAGTACCTCGACAAGTTGAATGAAGCGAACCGCCGTTTCTTGCGGCCGGCTGCTGTACACTAAGACCGAGGAGAGGAGAGGGCTGCGTGAACTTGCCGTTGGGATGGCAAGAGATTTGTGCATAGTATCCGTATTCAGATAAAGAGTCAATTGGGAATAGCTCTCTTTCTTGCGTTACATCTGTATCCTGCTGGCTTGGTTACAAGGTCAAATTAGCAATCTAGAACCATACCTGACAGACCATTTGCAAAAGCGCCGAGAGTGGCCAACTAACTACTCATGAGGTTAAGAGATATTGCACAAAATCCGCGGATATCAGTGTCAATTATGGCAACACTAAAGAAAAAGCTAACAATGGAATAGAGAAACGGACAAGTACTCTATGAGGTCTCATTATACATGGCAGAATCCGCGCTCCTAGATTTTATCTCCCACACGACCACTATTTAGTGGCTTCATTACTCTCACTAGCAGGCTTGGCTTCCATGGAGCTTGACTGCTCAACAGAGCGCTCGTTGCCTTCAGCCACAGAGGCGGGGCTCTCAGGAGGCACGGAGTCCTCAGGGGCGCTGCCAGTCTCAGGGTTCTGGCCCTGCACATCCGGGTGCGGGGGCGCGAGCTGGCCATCGACGACGGGAACGTCGTGGGCATGCTCTAGAGGCTTACCTGGCTCATAGCGAGTCTCGAACTTCACTTTGCCTTCCGCTCGGAGCGAAGCTACCAGGCTCTCGTCAAGAACCTGGCCGTTCTGGTCGCGGTACTCAACGCGCGCCATGGAGCCCTTGATCTTGGGCGAGGTGACGGCCGCTGGTTCTGATTCTTGGATAGCCTCACTTGCAGGCACAGGCTCTTGGGCCTGGACTGGTGGTGGCGGGGGTGGTGCTTGAGCTGCGGTCGTAGGAGCAGCCACGGGCGGCAGGGTCGGCACATATTGAGTGATGTACTGGCTCAACTAGTGGTATTTGAAATTCCATGTTAGTCGTGGTCTTATCGATTCGTTCAATGACCTCGCTGAGGAGGTCTCCATTGCGGAACACTTACGTCGGTATGGAAGGTGTTGCAGTCGAAATCCCAGGATCCGAGCAGCTTCACCTGGTTGCAGGCATCCCTAGTCCAGGGGTTGCCATACACGAGTGGGGCGTAGAGGGTGAACACAACAACGCTAAGACCCAGGAAGATTGCTATCAGAGCCTTACCGATCAGGGGCTTTGACGCAAGTCCCAGGCTCTTGATGCGGTTTGTGAGGAAGTCAAATTCTTGACAGAGGACCATAATCGCGAAATAAAGAGCGGGGAGATAGTGGTGCAAGAAGAGCTGGCGTGCCATGAGGTAGAATGGGAAATAGTGGAAGAACCAACCCAAAACGCTGGTGCCAACCTCGTAGTCAAAACGTTTGAACGAGACGTGCTTGTAGTCACCACAGCTTCGCTGCCAGCGAACAATAGACAGTGCCTTGAAAACGAAGTAGATTCCAATGGCTAGAGTGGTCGACCACCAAATGAGCGGGTTTCCAAGGAGGTAAATTTGGCGGTTGTCTTTGCCCCAGAAGTTGATGCCACGAAGGAGGGTAGGCCAGGAGGGCGGGCGAGAATCCCAAGCGTGGGACTCAACCAAGCCTGCGTTCGTAGTCCACATAACCTTCTGCAATTCCCAGAACTTGCCCAAGAAGCCGGGATTCCGGTAGTTGACTCGCTCGGCGTCAGGGGCCATAGCGGGGTGCTGGTTGGACTCGATATACCAGACGCTATTGGGAAGAGTACCACCCTTTGCGCATGTCACTTCCTGTTGTTCCCATCCCCACTCCGGAAGCTTGACCTTGTGGGAGAACAGCACACATCCAGTCATGACGTGCACCAACCTGAACTTGGACTGGATAGTCCGCAGGCGCTTCTTAGACTCCGGGGTCTCAGACATGGACTTAACAATCTCAACCCTCCATAAGTCGTTGGCATCACCAGCGAAGCCTTCGTATCCGTAGGCAGAGACCTCATACTGCCAGTCAGCCTCGGTCACCGGAGGGCGCTCGTCGTGCGAGTGAATTCTTCGGTGAGTGATCACGTGGTAAAGTCTGATAGTCGAGCCATCCTCAATGAAACCGGGAGCAGTTAAGTTGTCCCAGGCGAATGCGCCCTCGACCTCTCCGTAAGGCCCTAGAGGCTGAGTCGAGTTCTCCAAAAGGAACTCGTTGTTTTCATCCTTGTGGGGGTAGAGCGTAATTTGCTGCTGCTTGCTACCCGTAGGGTACATGTGCGGGTGAGAGTGCAGATAACCGCCCTGTGTGTTCAGATGGCGGAGGCTGACTCGGGATCCAAATGAGACATCCGCGGGAACATCTTGCATAGACTTTGAATTCAAAGTTGCCTGGAATTCTGATGACATGAAGCCGTCGCCTTCTCCGGGGTTGACCAAGCATGCGAAGTGAATGGCAAACATGGCAAGATAGAAGCCCAGAGGGATAAAAATGAGGCAGAAGATACGGGAAAAGAGATGCTTGAGCCACAAACGCTGGAACAATCCTACTTTTAGCATAAAACACAACTTGATCTGAACCTGGAAACACATACCGGTGTGACATTTTTAGCATCACCCAACAGTACCCACAACTGGAGAGCCGTGAGAGATCCAACCCAAGCCATGGTGAAGAGACCAACCCATTTCACGCTCAGGGTTGCGCCAAGAGAAAGACCGGTACACACCAGCCAGAACCACCACGGACCGCGGAAGGCATGGGCCGGCCCCAGCTCTTGTTGGTTGGTGAAGCAGCTGAAGGCCAAGGCTGTCAGAGCGGTAAAGAAAATCAATGGAGAGTCGAGCAGGATCAGACGGGACTGGGTGACCAAAGCGTTGTCAAAGATAACAAGACCAGCACCTAGGAGTGAAGTCGAACTTCGGCACCCGGTAACTTTGAGGGTGAGGAACATCAATGGGACAGTCAGAACACCCAGGATAGCTGGAAGCATGCGCATTGCCACATAAGGCACACCGGGCTCCAAATAATCCTTGCCAATATCCTTGAAGTCGAAGCTTCCGTCGAAACCAGCCAGCCAGCCAGCCAGCGTAAGCAGCAGTTTAGCTAGCGGGGGGTGCACATCCATGAAGAATTTCCCCTTGATGTATTTGGAAGCAAATCCACCGAAGCTGTTCAAGCGCAAACCATTAGTCTCTGTTCGGTTTATTTCGATTTATAGCACAAGGTTGGTGGGGAACGTACTGGACTTCATCGAAGACCACGCTGGTGGGCTGATAGATTCTGAATAGGCGAACAGCCGCGGCGATCAAAGTCACCAGTACAATAAGCCTATAGTCCGATCCGGGGAGTTTGAAGATATCATTGTTCTTCACACCATCCGAGGCATACGTCTGAGGCACCGGCAAAGGCTTGCGGTTCTTAGGTTTGGGTGACCGACTAGGCGAGCGCCTACCACGGCTCTGTGGCCGTACGGCCAGTGTGTCCTTCGCTTTCTGTGCCATATTGTTTCGATATTTCGACACAGGTGTGAAACGACGTCAGCGATTTAGGAGAACGGCGCGGGAGTCGGAATGTCGAGGAGAAAAGATAGGAGAGTTTTGTGAAGTTCAGTTATAGTTTAAATCGTTAAAGAGAGGCGTCTCAAGGTTCAATGGACGGGTGGACGCTGTCGAAAACTGCTTTCGACCTCGAGCTGTCAACCGTTCAATGGCTTCAGGCACCACACCAATTAATGATCGTGTAACAATGAGGAAAAAGGCCCCATGACAGGGAAGAAGTAAGAAATTGAAGAAAAAGGGCTGCTGAAGGGAGAGTAAGAAAGAAAAAGGACGTTGAAAAACAAGAATAGAAGTGAACGCAGATGGACGAAAGCGTGCAGTTCCGCCTTGAGGCCAGATCAACGGCGGCTGTGGAGGACAACATGTGAGCCCCTTAGTTTTTAGCCCCCCTAGTATTGTGACGGTCTTTACGGTAGTTGAATTTAGAGTTAAATTCATATATATCTTTTTGATACCATGTCATATATAATTACGGAGTAAAGAGTGTAGAATTGATATTTAGAAATCAATTGACTATATCCATGAAAAAAGGAAAAATAAAATAAACATTCCCTGTTCTGGACTGCAATTCAGTGGAGAATGCAAAGAGAGGAACATGGCCGCGCACGGGATGCACCGCCACAATGATATGCACCGCCACGACACGCCGTGATGCTGCCTGTGGCGGTGAATCACAATGTGGCTAGTGAAGCTAGTCAGCATGTCCTAGATCGTCTAGGTACGATCCTACTAACAGGACCCCCATTTCTTCATATCCTCACCATTCACCATGGAGTCGTCAAATGGAAGCACACCTCAACCAGAGGGGTCTAATGGGACTCTAAAACCTCCAGAGGGCATGGTTCTTCCTCCCAAGGAAAATCGAAAAATCCTTGAGACCACAGCCAGCTTTGTCGTTCGCCATCCACCTAGCTTTGAAGACCGTATCCGCGAAAAGGAAGTGAAAAACCCCAAATTCTCCTTCCTGGTCTCTGGAGATGCCTATGAGCCCTACTATGAATGGTACAAAATCGAGTACGCAGCAGGCCGAGTATCAGGGCGAACTGCCGACGCTGTCGCCGCCGCAGTACCTGAAAAGCCCAAGGGGCCACCTGAACCGGCCTCGTTCCATTTCTCGGCGCGCATGCCTATTATCAATGCACAGGATCTGGATGTGGTGAAACACACAGCGTTATTTGTCGCAAAGCGAGGCAAGTCATTCATGACTGCGCTGTCGCAACGCGAAGCCAGAAATTTCCAATTCGACTTCTTACGGCCACAACATAGTCTCTACCAATTCTTCACACGCTTGGTCGACCAATACACTATCTTGCTTCGCGCTGAGGGAATCGACGAGGCGACTTCATCCGAGAAAAGAATCGCAGAATTGGAACAAAATGCAAAGAACAAATTCCACGTCATGGAGCGTGCTAAGCAGCGGGCAGAATGGGTGAAATACCAACGACAACAGAAACAAGAGAAGGAAGAGCAAAGTGAACAGGAGCGCATTGAGTACGCCCAAATCGACTGGCACGACTTCGTCGTGGTCGAAACCGTCGAGTTCACCGAGCACGACGACCACGCAGAGTTGCCACCCCCAACCTCCGCCAATGACCTGCAGTCCGCCTCGCTCGAGCAAAGAGCAGCACTTTCCCTCGGCAGACGACGCATCGAGGAAGCGATGCCGACCGGCCTCGACGAACCCGTCTACTACAATGCCTACCCAGTCCACCCCGCACCCATGCACGCCCCCCAACCCCCAGTCTCGCCCTACCCAGCAGGCTCCTACCCCGCAGCAGGCCAGTACACCAACCCGGAAGAGGACCAGCGCATCCGCGAACGGACACAAGCGCGCGACCAAGCGGCCGCCGCCCAGGCAGCAGCCCAAGCCGATCCAAGCCAACAGCCAATGCGCATCCGCTCAGACTACGTTCCCCGAGCCCAGGCCCGCCGTCAACAAGCCCAGATGGCGATCTGCCCTTACTGCAACCAGAAAGTGCCTTCCAACGAGCTGGACGAGCACATCCGTATCGAGCTGCTCGATCCCCGCTGGAAAGAACAGCGTGCGAAGGCCGAAGCTCGCAGTGCCACCACCAACCTCTCCACCGTCGACGTGGTCAACAACCTCAAGCGTCTTGCAAGCCAGCGCAGCGATGTCTTCGATCCTTCCCCCCTCGAATCGGAGGAGGAAACTCGCCGCAAGCGACTGGCTATGGGTATCGATGGCTCGGCTGGCCCCCAACACCCGAACGCTGCCGTACAGAATCCCAACCCTCAGAGTTTGAACATCGAAGACCAGCTCAGACATATTCATCAGCTTGCCAAGAAATGATATCCCCCCATCTACATAAAGTTCAGACGGGATGTTCTCGTTCCAAAATTGAGGGTTTACGGGGTTTTTCTATTTTGAACGTATCTGTTCTGCCATTTGAGGAGTTTGGGAGGGATGAAACCTGGATGATGAGCTTCTTTTTTTCTGTTTGTGTACAATAGCCCTCTTTTACTCTAACCTCACGAAACATCTTGTCTGGTCTATGCTTCTTTCCGTCCTTTTTAACTTGAATCTGTTCACATTTCGTACGAAGTAGTCATAATTCTTTGGATATCAGTGACTGGCATGTCTTCTCGCATCCTCTACGGTATATTATTCTAAGAATAGGTATCGTCTATGAATGTATGCAAATTGATTCAAATTCATCTATCATTTATCACGATATTCCACCACCAATGGGGCCCTACACTGGCATCGCCGTGAGTCAAAAAGTGGGAACGAAGAAAACAGAAAGGAAATCAAAAAAGAACAGAAATAGTGACAATCCATGATACCACACCTGGTCCGAATGTCCGCGGGAAAAAAAGGGATAAGAGAAAAACAAAAGCCAGTATTATGTATACATAGTCGGAAGGTGAAAGGTTGATAATAATACAGGAGGCCATGCTGCTGAAAGGGAAGAGAGGGATACCCAAAAAGCCAGAACCAATGAGGAACATTATCAAGGTGTAACCCAATGGGTGATTAAAGGTAAAGGTAGAAGAAGAAGCAGAAGCAGCATTTCCAAAGGGCAGGTCTGTATCAACGACCTGGAGGAAGGAGAAGAAAAAGAAGAGAATTAAGTGACTGAAGAATGCAATGCCAAAGGATGGAGGAAGACATTAGGCGGATCATAAAATGCTGGGTAAACCGTGTAGTCGTCTCACTCGTATTGATCGCTTGTGATCAACCGAGGTCAAGAATTGCTCAACCCGTTGGGTTTGGCGATATCTGTGTCTATGTCTGTCTCTATCTCTCGACTCTGAACGATCGAGGGCTCGTTGAGGACAGGTGCCGGGGCACTGGATTGAGTGATGTTTGTGTCTGTGTCTCCACTAAGAGCGATTGAGGGCTCGGTGGGAACAGGTGCCGTAGAAGTGGGATCCACGTCAGCGCTAGCTTCTTCGTAAACGCTTGCTACCGAGTCGATAGAAAATCGCTTTCGTTCCGAGCCACTGAAGGAGGCAACATCATCTCTGTCATAGATAGAACTTTGAGGTCGAGGAAGATCGGGGTGATTTATGTGCTCAGTAGCGGATTCTGTGATTGGTGTTTCCGGAGCGAGTTGATCCGCCACTGAGACTTTCTCTGTCCGGGGCTCGAGGTAAGTCACGTCCACGGGGAGATAGCGGTCATCGTCGTCCTCATCGGTGCCATTATTAGACTCTGTGGTGACTGGCTCCGCCTCTAGTTCGCTTGGGCGATTGCACAATGGAACGATGCCTCCTCCGACACGAGACCAGAACATCCTCTCTCTGAGGCGGATAGTCTCGTCCCAGATTTCTTTTTCTTCTTCGGTGTCGCCAGCCCGAAGGTGTCCATCAAGGATGAGACGCAAGTAACCAGTGAACTCGCAACACGAGCGCACTCTTTCTAAGCATAGGACACAAAGTGAGTACCTTTGAGCGGTCTCGCTATCCGACGTTCGGAAACGATGAGTTCTCTCATTGGGCGTGCCCGGTCTTCGCTCGCCACAGACAGAGCAGGGGAATTCGAATTTCTTGGCTGCTGGGGGCATCGGCTCCACGACAAGACTGCCTTCACAGATACTACTTAGAACGGTACGCCGGGTCAACCACGAGATCCCCGGCGCTAGATCTAGTCTTAATGTCGGTTCAATATCCTCCATAAGCACCCGCTTGTAGAAGCGAGTTTCCTTCAAGGAAAAATTCGAGCCCGTTGTGGAGGACGTGCTCCCGTTGGGGGAATGGGTAAACCCTTTGGTGGGTGATGAGGTCGACGACGGAGATCCTCCACTGGCAAAGCTTGCCAGACCCATCACGTTCAGGCCTCCATATGACCCACTAGCAGCACGGCTAGGAGGTTTGGAGCTCCGAGAGAGTACCAGCAGATCGCGGAAATCCTCATAAGCCTGTAAATCCGTCCGGCATACCATGCGGAGGAGCTGTGGGAAGCTAGAGGAAGGGCCCGGAGTGAACTCCTCGGGGTTGTCGATCAATATAGGAGCGGGTTCAAGCTCGGTCGCTTGTGTACTAGAACCTTGTGCTTGTGAGAGGTCATCCGGGGATGATGGGGTGGTAGTAGCACGGCTTTCGAGGTCATCTTTATGAATGTTCATTGCTTGCATGACAGATTTGAGCTCGGCAAGCTGGTCCTGGTGCGATGCCAGGAGCAACTCGGTGTCTTTGACTTGTGAACGCAGCTGCTCATTCTTCTTCTCCACCGCCTCCCGTTCGATCTTAGCTGCGGCCACCATCTGAAACAAGGTTAGAATTTATCTTAAACTGCATATGCTTCAGGGAATTACCGACCTTATTGGCTTCTTCAAAAAGAGCCGCAGTAAGAGTTTCCACTTCCTGCTCAATATTTTTTCTGCCCTTTTCAGCAGCGAGACGCAGGGTTGTTTCTTCCGCTAACGCATCCCGTAATTGCGAGATTTCGCGATCAGAGTCGAATTTTTTGATATAGACCTTGTTATCAATGTCGCGCCGATACTTCTCGTTCTGGAACTCCAGGGCTTGAGCCTTGCCCTGAGCTAGCTCTAGCTCCTGACGGGTGGCAACCAGGCTATCATCGAGGTCTGTTTGGTTGTTGATGGCCTGGATTAATTTCACAGACAATGCTGCTACTTCGTTGCTCAAATCAGGGTGGTGAGACGATGACGTCGAATGTGAGACCTCCGACCCGACCATCAATCGCGGATCCTGCAATGTGCTGAAACTGCTTTCATCAAATCCGGGTCTCTTTGTTCCATTGGAAGAAGCGATGTCGGAGAGATTGGTGGTGGACTTCGCTTTGATAACTGTTCGGTCAGGAGATAACGACCGGTGCTCAGAGGAGAGTGACCTCTTGTGGGCGTTGCGCGGGATCATATTGGATGGGGAGAAGAAGCTATGATGGGTGGTTTGAAAGGCAATTAAACTGCCCCACCTAAAGTGTCAATAATTGAAGTCCGAAAAGGGACAATCTTGATGGGGACTTACTCGGCCATGATGAGTGACGTAGAAGGCGTTCGGGATGTAAGGGAAGGGAGGGTTCGCTTGTCGCTAGATCAAGATCAAGATCACGTCCAGAAAAGCTCCGATAGACAAATTGCTATCCACGCCATTCACACCAAGAAGGCAAATATTAGAATAGAAAGGTCACGCGTGCGCGATCGAATAGGTCCACGGGGTACGTAATAGGCTGAAAGATAGTGGAATCCGGATTTGGGAGTGAGGAAAGTTGAATGGCTGTAGACACAACAGAAATGAATGCGCTGAAAGTGAAGAAAAGGATTGAATCGCCACAAACAGGTCTGATCGGAAATATCAGCCTGTTGAGGGTATCGAGGAAGTCGGGGTTGCAGCGCGAGGACCAATCGAGGCTTAGTCACCCGGATATGAATGGGTACCTAGATATGAATGGTATGAATGGATTAGGCACGGACTATTGAAAGATCGACTGCGCTATGCACTTGTAAGAAGGTGAAGACTTTAACCGTAGGAAAATATGAAAATGGGGCTTTTTCGAAATGAACTGAAGGCCAATGTGAGGGGAACAAATTCAGCATCGCCACCCGGAGACGGAACGGACACCCCCCGGGCGCTTCTGATAGTCGGGGAATTACCAAGTAGGAGCTAACCCTGAAGCTATCGATACCGAGCAATTTTACTTTATTGAACATATTTGCCCCTCAAGGCGCAGTACGGAGTCCAATCTTGATGGATCCCATATTTTTAGTGGCTGGCTGTGTGATAGGCGCCTACAAAGTACATGTCAACGTCTTATCACGCAAAACATGCATAACATGACCATGCGAATATAGTAACCTTGATATTAGGCCATGCCAATTAAACCAATAACTATGTACTCAATTTATATGTACAAAGTATAGATAGATGTACTCTGTACGGAGTACGGAGTACACAGTTGAAATATTGAAGTTCCACGTGTAATTCCCCCGCAGGTACTCCGTAGTCTGTACGGATACGAGACTCAAACGACATTCAATATACATAGCACATTATGGTGTCAGATGGGTTTATCATTGGATATTTAATATCTATCTATCTATCTCTGCCTGATATCATTATTATTATTTTTGGGTGATGTTTCAAATTTTTAATTGTCTTATGAATGTACAGGGTGAGAACAACTTTTGTACAAGATAGATAGATGATAGTTAAATATATATATAACCACCATTATTATTTCCATGACAATTGAATTCTTCAATTCCCTACCAGTAACTAGAAAGTCTACCCAAGTAAACCGTTGTATATTTGTCCCAAACTAGTTACCACAGAATGAAGTATGGTCGTTACACCCCTCCGCACTCAGGCGAGCCAAGTGGGGTTCACCAAATTAATCATCGACTCTTCGACATTTGATCAATCCGTGCCCCTCACTTTACTTGAATATCCACAATGGCAGACGCAGAGTTAGAAGAGGTCAGTCTCACAGCCATATCATGAGAGGTCTTGCGCCCTTGGACTCAGGTACTAAGAGAAAGGAAACAGATCCGACGAGCCCGTCTGGCGCAACTCCAGCAACAAGGACCACGCGGAGGTGGTTCCGCCGGTCAAGATGGCGGCGAGCAGGCACAGCAGAGGAGGTAAGTGTTGGAATACATCGCAAGGATATGCTGTATGCTAACGAACCCAACCAGACAAGCAGAGGGTAGGGCTCTAGATCTAACGTTTTTAGTCCACGGATTCGCATTCGATGGACTACAAGCAACGTCCTTGTATCGCCGCAGTTCTAACCCATCTTTGATTTCTCATAGCCGAGCAACGCGCTTCGATCCTGTCACAAATCCTCGACCCCGACGCCGCCGATCGCCTGGGCCGTATCCGCCT